ATCATTAGCACTATTAGTGAGAATTTTATTATTGAAAAATGAGAGAGAGAGAGTTCGGCATATATCAAACACATCATCTGTCAATTGAGACAGAGATCACAAATCACAGAATTGTTAAATTAAAAGCAAACATACATTCTGTCTGTCAGTGAAAATCGGTTGAGACGGTGTCTCGTGTGTGGGTGGGCTCAACACACACCCCATCAACCAATCCATTCATTTGCTTATAATAACAAAGTTATGCCCTTTTTATACAATCACAATATATCTCAAAACTTTATTCAGTAACAGAATCTCAATAAACACGTGAATTTCAGATTCAATACATTGTAATCTCTCATAAATTACCAGTATTTTGATAGTCATATAAAACCAAACATATTTCTCGTGACCATTAAAGTCAATGATGAATACTCTTAATAAAAGTATTTCCATCGAAAAGTTTTCTGTCAATAAGTTATTAGACACTCAGGAAAGACATCCCAACGAAGAGCACGAAGTCATCGATATTATGAAAATTCCACAAAATTCAAAGAAAATGTTAAAATTTTCTGTCGAAAGGATTCTTGAAGAAGACCAACACTTTAAGAAAACTCAACATAACTTCCCATCAAATGGTAAAACTTTAATTTTTGTAATCATTGCCTAATGCTGTATAAAAGGTTGTTATATTACTAATATACTATGTTATTATAAATGTTTTTAATACTATATTTCACTAAATAAATTCAATCTGAATATATTTTTAGTTTTAATTTTTCTTTCTTTGTACTAAAAAGTTTATTTAAATTTAATGATAGTTTAATTATTAAACTTTAATAACTTATTATACGCTGAACTTTGATATTTGTCACTAGTAAGTTATTGTTGATCAAATATTAAAATATTATTAATATTTAAGATGTGACCGCATATATGGAGAGTCGATCGGTGGCCCCGCATCCCAGTCCAGCGCAACCCAAGTATATCGACTCATACTATCTCTCGCAATGTATAGCCGTTAACAATACAATGGTTTCGCCGTATAATTACGAGTGGTATACATATCGAAACGGTTAGAAACATTTTCTTAATTAATTTATAATTTAATTTTAAACAATTTTTAATCATCAAATTGAAATCAAGTTAATATTTCACTAAATAATCGCAACATTATATGAAAACAAGTGCTTAAATGTTAAACTAAATATTATGAGTAATCATTTGTTGGAAATTAATTTTAAAACCTAAGCACTAAAGCATTCCTATAGAGAGTAATGTATGCATAAAATCAAAGGATAATTGATTTGATTATCTATTAAAAGCATCATAAACAGCATTATTCGCATATAATTTTAAACTCAAAATAAACAAATTAAAGTTAACAAAAGAAAATTAGAAAAGTTTTGCGAAAATCTCATAATAGGAAAAGTTAGAGTCAATTGCGTTGAGTGAATAATTCATGGTTTTGCATATAATAACAGATTTAAAGTCATATAAAAAGTTTCCTCTTCTCTCGGAGTCACAGAAAAGTTATCCATTCATTGAGTAGAGAGAAAAAAAAGTTACAATATTTTTTGTCGATGGCATGCGATAAGTGTGGGCACAACTCCTGTTAAGCATAGATAGAGTGACAGCAATGCGGAGAATCGGAGAGCAAACTGAACGCAAAGCGTATTGTATTTGCGCCAAACGGAGGGCTATTACAGCATATTATAGCCCATTATTCGCATCATTTAATAGTCTCTAAAGAGAAACAATTTATTCATATTATAAACACAATGAAATTAATGACCAAAAGTAGTTTGAGTGACAATATTATCGCACAAATAATATAACTATTATTAAGAGATATTTTGGTGACTCACTTAACATTATGTATTTACAAGCATTATAACTGTTATTTGGGTTTAGGTTTGGGTCCCTATTCGACCGACGCCTATGTCGGTCATCACAATCTATTCAATCACTCGAATGTGAGAAATAGCGACCAAACGGCCAATCAGTCACCGAAGAGGAAGAACTCCGGGAGAGCTGTTTTCCATTCGCTTCAACGAAAAGGTCTCGAAAGACGATTTCAAAAGCAAAAGTATATCACAAAACCCGAGCGACAAAACCTGGCGCAGAGTCTTAACCTCAGCGACTCTCAAGTAAAAGTTTGGTTTCAGGTCTGTCTTCCCTCCCATTCCTTACATACAATTTTTCAATACTATTAACACATTTATTGAGAGAATATTTTCAAAAAATGCCCGCAAATTATTAATAATTATTCTTAATAAGTTATTATTTGTAAAAATATATTCTAATTCCCACCGGTATTAATAAATAGTTAGCCTAAAGCCATAACAGTAACTTTCAGTAAACTTAACTATAACTTTAATTAAATTGAGTTTTAAAATTGAGAGCAATTATTAATGTATAGAAATTGTTAATTGAAATCAACTGTTGTCTAATAAGTGTTGCATATATTGACAACAGAATCGTCGGATGAAATGGAGGCACTCAAAGGAATTCAAAGAAGATATCAAACATACATCCAATAGAGAGCAACAACTGATCACAAGTTTCCCAACAAATAAGATCACAATTGAGTTGAACACTAAAACAGATGCCAATTAAAAGTGCATATAATTGCCATTAACTTAACATTAAATGTTTGAGATTTTAAAATAATTTTGGCTTATTTTTGTGAATCTCTACTTAAAAATATTATAAGCATTTCATTAGCTTTCATGAGATGTCATAACATTTAAAATTATTTATCAATTCATTGTAAGAAATATATTAATGATAACCATCTTTTGGTAACTCATACTTAAAAATCTATTACTCCTTAACAGTAAACGCATAACTTGTGTATCAATTAATTAAACAAAACATTTTTCATTATTGAATAAATAAATTCAGTCTTTGTTTACATAAAATTATATGTTTAGTGCGGTTTGAAATGCATCTCAAATTTATATGTTATTGTTATTATTAACACATTTAAATGAATAGACAGTGAAATGAAGACAAAAAATGTAAACTTATTTTTAGGCAAAACGAGAATAAATATCATTATTAAGAAATATAATATTTATAGTGAAATGTTAAAAGCCATCCAAATGATGGTTTATGTATAACTTATGCATAAGATATGGTCTAATATACGGTCATTATATACAAATTAAGTCAAACTTCTGTTCAAGAAATAAACAGTTTTGTTGAGCAAAATGTTTACACAGAAAGTGAATGTTTAGTAGGAATTGAAAGGAAAATTTAGTACAAAATACTTGATTAATAAACATTTGGAAAATAAGATAAATAGATGCTTTGAGATGACACTTTGAATGTGATGTTTCAAACTTATGGCATCAAAGTCTATGGTACTTAACTTACAGACCAATAACTTGTAATTCAAGAGTGAGGGGAAACTGATTTGCGAGACAACTGACTATAGACAGCCATATGATGCCAATCCTCTTAATGGCATTCCTCCACTCTCTATACAAACAAACAAATCAACGCTTGTTCTCAATGTTTATACGATATTCAAGCAATTAGTTTACAATGATTTTAATGATTATAACTATAATAATGAGCTTTTATTGAATTGTTTTCTCTCTCTCTCTCTCTCTCTCTCTCTCTCTCTCTCTCTTCGGCTGATCTCTTCGTTGGAGATCTCTATTATAATTGTTATGTTTTGTACCGAATATACGTGAACTCGATTTGTGAAACTAAAAGAATTTAGTTTTGGATATCGTTGAGTAGCATTGGCTACATTTTTTGTCACAAGGTATTAGTTGTCGTTGTGGCCACCGCTGGGAAACTGCGGCCTTTGGTTTTTAGCTTTCCAACCAAACTGTCTTTGGGAAACTGTTTTAGGAGTTTTCCAAACTTCTGAAAACTTTTTTCTGATCTCTCTCTCTCTCTCTCTCTCTCTCTCTCTTTCTTTCTCTCTCTCACTCTCACTCACTCACTCACTATCATAAGTTTATGGCCAATATCGGTGGCCGATATTTCACGAATTGCATACATGGCTTAGATTGTGACAAACTTTGGTTTGGGTTCTCCGGCGGACGTATTTTAGTTACAATATCTGTCACATCATTATCTTTTGGGTCATTAATTAGTTGTAAATCTTCACTATTTGTTGCATTTGTCGGTCTATTAGCCGACACTGTATTTAATTTTTCTAAATTCTTAAGAAACTCATGTTATTAATATTTGTATGATTTAATTAATTCTACTTTTGGTGACTTTTATTAAAAACGTCAAAAATTACTGCATTTTACTAAATTTGCTTTAATTAAAAGGTTTTTGTTTAATTAAATGTTTCCCATCTGTACTCATATAGTGTTGAATTTTATTTACACGATATTTAATAGCATAAAGAAATGATAAACACGTAAACAATCTTTGGTGTGATTTTGATTTCATATTTATTTTGTTAAATAAATATTTTTATTTTCTTATCAAAGAAATATTAGTTTTGAATTAAAAATTATAATTTGTTCATTAAAATTGAATTCAATGCAAAATGTCATCAGAAATAATATTAAAGCCAAAGACTAATATCGATATTCCAGTCGTTTCTGTCGGACAATATATTTGGGAAAATGTGGCTAAATATGGAAATAAAGTTTGTATTGTAAGTAAAGTGTTAAATGTAAATTAATTTATTAGTACAATATAATCATTATATATGAAATAGATTGAAAGCAATTCAGGAAAACAATTGGATTTTAAAACACTTTTACTGAAAAGCAAAATCATTGCAAATTCTTTGCTTAACGAGAATATCTGCAAATCAGATATATTTCTATTATTTAGCGCTAATTGTATTGAATATGTTTTATTGCAATTCGCGATTTACTTATTGGGCAATACCTTCACTCCCGTTAAACCTACTAATGGTGTCTTTGAGTTGAGAAATCAGCTCAAAGACAGCGGCGCTTCTGTTATAATCACTTCCGTAAAGAACGCCGTAATCGTCGACAAGATTTTGAACAAAACTAATGATGAGTTAATTAAAAAGCAAATTAAAATTGTTGTTGTTTTGGACGGAAGTTATAAAGACTTTGTGTCAATGGATGCTCTCATTGATAAACAACGAGACGACAGAATTGATAAAATTCCTTATTTTAATATCAATCCAAAAGAGGATATATTTATAATCGGTTACACCTCTGGAACCACTGGCGTACCGAAGGGTGCAATGGTTTCCCACTATAGCTTTGTTGCCGTTTTAGAGGACGTAAACTGTCAAAAACCGAATCCAATGACTTCAGCAAATATATACCCTTTCGGGCATATGAGCGGTTCGGCTACACTTGCCGTTAGTCTGATTTGTGGCAACGCTATGGTCTTATACGAAGACATTACTGCCATTGATATCTTGAAATCGATTGAAAGATACGGAATCAATTCGGTGCCAATGTTTCCCTATTTCGCTAAATTATTACTCGACGACAATCTCACCAAAGGGTATGATTTATCGAGCGTTATGTTTATGAATGGGAGTGGAGTTAAATTTCCGCCCGAATTAATCAGACAGTTGTTCATCAAATTTAAAGTCCCTTTCTTTGAATGTAATGAACAAATCATCATTTGTTTCATTAAATACAATAATTAAAATATTTTCATTA